TATATACTTCATAGTTTACAAGTCCCTTCATCTGTTGTCTCATTTCATCCTCACAATATCTCAGTACTGATATCAGCCCATTTCAGCTAAGGACGCTGAAGCTCACAGATGCAGAAATATTCTTCCAGGTTGCACTCTAGCGAGGGAGGATTTAGCCCCTTGCCCACAGGTGCCAGGGTTGTGCCCAACTAATTAGATCTCCTGATAAGCCTTTTGGATTATCTGGGAGCTTTACGAAAAAAACAAAACCAACAGCAAAATACCTTCTCATCTTCAGCAGCTGCCCTGCACTGGTCTCATCAGAGACACCAAACTCATCAGAGTTGGGTGGTCTTCTTTTGCTGACCCTTCATATAGTTCTTTAGGGAATTCATTTCTCTGGCATTGTGAACTGCTCTCTTCAATACCAGTCTTATTTCTACTATCCTGTATTCCTGTAAAAAAGAAAAAGAAATGATTACTTTTGTATTTCTGAAGATTTTTTTTACAGGGAGGCTTCCTCTTCTGATAAAAAAAAAAAAAAAGATGTATGAATAAAATAATTCCCCAAGTGAAATAAGAAGTTTTAATAAAACCAATAAAAATAGCTGTGGTTTACTAAGTACCTACCTTAAACCTTTAGACTATAAGCTCCATTGGGATAGGTATCCATTTGTCCCCAGTACCCAGAACAACACCAGGCACAGAGTAGGTGTTCAACAAATATCAGTATGTGTAATAAATTGATGCCAGGCACAATGTAAAGAGCTTTCCATGCACGTCATTGAATTCCAACTTCTTCCTTACCTCCTACAGTATACACACAAACCTACAACTTAATGAAATAGGTATCTTTATCCCAGATGAAGAGATTGATATTGAGAGATTGAGTAATTTATTAGAGGATACATGGCTGATAAGTAAATGGTCCCTCTAACTCCAAAACTTCTCTTAATTAGGGTTCTATGAATAGAACAAAGTTGGAATGGCTTAGCTCATAATGTCCCATCACCAAGGTAATATCTCAGTGGGGTGATCCAAACCAGTGGACTTCAAATAGGCTTTGGGTTGCTGTACATTAAAGGTAATTTATAATAACATACCTGTAGAAACAGGAGTATATTTTCTACATCTATGCAGTTGATTCTTGTTTTTGCAGTAGTCATGTTCTATAAAGTGGCCCCAAGTATTGAGTTAGCAAATACTCAGTCAATTGCTCTTAGGGGAAATACAGGGATAGGTCCTTGTGAGTCTCTGGTAATAAGATTTTTGTCAACCAATCAATATATAACCTTATTTCATGTATGTATCTGTATGTATAATTATTTAATACATACTGTTGATTCATTAACATTGAACTCACAACCAACAGCACTATACATGCTTGAACAAAGCTTATCTAACACACATAAGGCACATTACAGCCTTCTTGCTGCTTAGGAGCACTAGCCAGCACTTTAGCACTATACTTGGGGAGCATTCTAAAAAAAAAGAAAAACAAACAAACAAAAAACCCTAGTAATACTAAACAGATCAGGAAAAGGACACTTGTTTATAGGATGAAAGCTGAATCAAGAAGGCGGAGTGTCCCCTTGTTTGACCTTAGCTGGGAATATGCACATCAAGGAGACTCAGATTTTTGCTACTCTGTGCATTTCTGGGAATGACTATTAAAATGCCACAAGTATTGATTTTGAGATAACAAATAAGTATTTATGAGTAGGCAAATTTACAAAGATGGAATTCATGAATAATGAGGATGTACTGTATATATATGCTTAATATTTTCAAAGTCCTTTATTTTTTATTTTTGGGTTTTTTTTTTTTTGCCTATTTGTATTTATTTATTTCAAAGTTTTATTTAAATTCTAGTTAGTTAACATATAGTGTAGTATTGGTTTCAGGAGTAGAATTTAGTGATTCATCGCTTACATATAACACCCAGTACTCCATAACAAGTGCCCTCCTTAATACCCATCACCCACCCACCAACCCTTGGTTTGTTCTCTATCACTAAGAGTCTTTTATGGTTTGTTTCCCTCTCTCTCTCTCTCTCTCTCTCTCTCTGTTTTTCTTTTCCCTTCCCATATGTTAATCTGTTTTGTTTCTTAAATTCCACGTATGAGTGAAGTCATATGGTATTTGTCTTTCTCTGCGTGTCTCGTTTCAATGAGCATAATACACTCAAGCTCCATCCATGTCATTGCAAATGGCAAAATTTCATTCTTTTTGATGGCTGAGTAATATTTCATTATAAATATATATACCACATCTTCTTTATCCATTCATCAGTTGATGGACATTTGGGCTGTTTCCATAGTTTGGCTATTGTTGGTAATAAGGCTGTAAGTATCGAGGCACACACACGTGTGTGTGTGTGTGTGTGTGTGTGTGTGTGTGTGTGTGTGTGTGTGTTGATTTTTAAAAAGTAATCTCTACACCCAACATGGGGCTCAAACTTCCAAACTGAGACCAAGAGTCACGTGCTCCACCAACTGAGTCAGCGAGGTGCCACTCAAAGCTCTTTAAAAATTTGTATGTTTTTTTTAATTTTTAAAATTTTTTTATTTATTTTTGAGAGAGAGAGAGACACACACACAGCACAAGAGGGGGAGGGGCAGAGAGAGAGGGAGACACAGAATTTGAAGCAGGCTCCAGGCTCTGAGCTGTCAGTGCACAGCCCGATGCGGGGCTCGAACTCACAAACTGTGAGATCATGACCTGAGCTGAAGTTGGATGTTTAACCAACTGAGTCACCCAGGTGCCCCTAAAAAGTCATATGTTATACACCTTATTTATCTCCACTTAAGAGACTGTAAAACTGGGTGAAGTAACCATAGAAACCATCCTGTTACTATGTCATACACAGAGTCAGTTTCATAGGCATGTGACCTCTGCACTAACACAAGGCCCCCATGTTCAAAAGGGCCCATGAATTTTCAACACAGGGCCCTGCAATTTCATTTTTCACTGGTCCCCACAAATTATGTAGCTGGTTCTGGCTGCATGGCAAGTAAACAGATTAATAACTGGAGGGACAAACAAACAAACCCAAATGAAAAAATACTATACATCCAGCTGAACAAATCCCTTATTTCACTGTGCCTGATATATTAAAGTTACCATTTATTGAGGATTGGCTATATTAGGCTCTTGTATGTATTAAGTTATTTAATCCTTATGACACTCTGTGAGTTGGGTATTATTTCCACTTAACATACAAGGAGAGGCACCTGGAGACTCAGGGGTTAAGCTTCCAACTCTTGATTTCTGCTCAGGTCATGATCTCATGGGTTCGTGAATTCTAGCCCCACATCTGGCTCTGCACTGACAGCATGGAGCCTACTTGGGATCTCTCTCCCTCTCTGCCCCTCCTCTGCTCACTCTATCTCTCTCTCCCAAGATAAATAAATAAACATTAAAAAACTAAAAACAAAAAACAAAAAGCAAAACAAGGAAACTGAGTGCCCAGAGAAGGTAACTTAACTGCAGTCATACAGTTAGTGTAGCTTGAATAGGGACCAAATCAGACTCAAAACTTCATGCTCTTGCTGTTAGACTCTTACTGTGTCTAATTTTAGTTGGCTCCAGTTTCCAGGTAATTTGTAATGAGAATTTAAATTTTGTGATCTCCTCAGTGAGCTTTTAACTAACACGTCTAGATTTCATTTGCAGTAAACATATATAATGGGCTTTTAACAGAATATAAATTCAGCTTGAAAGTACATAAGAGACAATTACCTTGTTTTCTTTTCTTTTTCTTTAGTCATGTCCCAATTTGATTTCATTTGTACATCTCCTAGGCAGGATAAACAATCAAAGTGTTAGAGGAGATATAATTTAAAAAGTTTAAATTCTGATCACCCTCACTTTCTCTGAAATTAATGTTCAGTTAATTCAAGTTGAAAATACTAAACACCTCTAAGTAATTAGTCCATTTACAAACTTAGCTAATACTTTAAATATTTTAAACTTCTTTCATAAATTTAACATATTTGATTTTTTAAGTACTTCACATGCTTGAAAAGACAAATTTATAGCCCTAACAAGCAAATTCTTCCTAAATACTTAACAACACTTTAGTTTTTAAGTTCATGTCCTGCCATAGCCAATTTAATGTCTTTTTTCTGTACTTTTTAAAATAAATATTGATTTATTTTGAGAGTAGGAGAAAGAGAGAGAGAGAGAATGAGCAAGGAAGGAGCAGAGGGAGAAGGAGAGAGAGAAAATCTTTAGCACGTTCCATGCCCAGTGCAGAGCCTAACACAGGGCTGAATCTCACAACCCTGAGCTGAAATTAAGAGTCAGATGCTTAACTGACTGAACCACCCAGGCGCCCCTGTACTTTTTTTTTTTAATGTTTATTTATTCTTGGGAGAGAGAGACAGAGCACAAGCAGGGGAGGTGCAGAGAAGAGGGAGACACAGAATGTGAAGCAGGGTCCAGGCTCTGAGTTGTCAGCAAAGAACCTGACACAGGGCTCGAACCCATGAACCACGAGATTATGGCCTAAGCCAAAGTTGGACACTTAACCGACTGAGCCACCCAGGGCCCCATCCCCGCACTTTTTATAATAAAATCCCTTTAGATATTTATTGGGAAAGAAACATCCAAAATGTTAATTTCATTGTTTCTAGACAATGTTCAAGAGTGATTTTTACCTTGTCTACCTTATGCTTTTCTGTATTTTCTTAATTGTCTACAATGACTATGTATTATTTTTATAATCAAAAGAAACAATGAGTTCCTAAAAGCAAGAATCAATACATAGTATCAATTTCAAAAACAAAATATCTTTTCTTACTACAATCCTCTTTTTATGATTTTTTTTTCCTTCGAAGAAACATCAAAAAACAAAAAGACCTTAGGAAACAATAATAAAAATGGAGTGAGATGTGGGGCCAGGGGCACAGTGGTGGTGGTATTTTACAGGAGGAGAAGAAAGAACTGGTAAAAACCTGATGGTGAATACTGGCTGCTAGGTCAAGCAGCAACTGATTGTATTTTTTCATTTGTTTCAGGATACTAAGAATCCCTTGACGATTAGTTTGTCGCCATAATGACCTCTAAAAACAGAACCAATGAAATCATTAAAAAACTTAAAGCTAGCAAAAAACATCTGGAGGAGATAAACGAAAAGCGTGACTCCAACTGCTTTGTGGAAAGAAGCAATCAAGTCAGTTTATTGAGAGTTCAAAAGAGGCATTTCAGTGGTGCCTACCAGTTCTTTACTCACACCCGAATCAAAGAACCCGTTCCTGACAGTGGCAGGAGCTCCTGGGTCACACTGAGTCTCCTGGTTCACACCGAGAAAAAGCACTTTCCTGCAAAAAGTAAGTTGTTATGTATGGTAGGATTCCATCCCCAACTGACAGGAGGGATTTATATATAAACTTGAGAAGAATTTCTGGGGTAGAGAGAGGTTCAGTAAGTATCGTTCTGGGACCGTTTAAAGGAGGTCTGTCTGAGGTGAAAAGCATCAGTAAACTAGGTTAGTGGATGTAAGATCTGCTGTAGACCAGAGATTTTCTTTTTCTTGTGCTTCCAGAATCCTGAGCTCCACCTCTAGACTGACTCATTCCGTAGGCCCTCCTTTGGTCCTAGAATCCGTGTTTTCATCAGGCTAAGGGAATTTTGATGCTGAAGGCCTGAGAACCATATTTTGAGAGAAGTTGTTATAGATAATTATAATAGCCCACAAAAGCTCCAGAGACTACCTATCTCACCAATTTGTTGCCTGTGCAAAAATTTCATGTACAAAATTGAGATACAATGGAAATGATTTTGATGACAAATATCAAACAAAAAGCCCTGAATAACAATAGTACAATGTGGAGGGAGGTTGGTGTGGGGGTTGATGGTGGTGGTAGTATTATTTCGCAGGAGGAGGAAGAGAAAGAGTAACCATTTTTGATTGTGAATACTTGTTTCCAAGTCAAGACAAGCAACTGATCGCATTTTTTTCATGTTTAAAAAAAAAAAATAGAGGGGCGCCTGGGTGGCGCAGTCGGTTGAGCGTCCGACTTCAGCCAGGTCATGATCTCGCGGTCCGTGAGTTCGAGCCCCGCGTCGGGCTCTGGGCTGATGGCTCAGAGCCTGGAGCCTGTTTCCGATTCTGTGTCTCCCTCTCTCTCTGCCCCTCCCCTGTTCATGCTCTGTCTCTCTCTGTCCCAAAAATAAATAAACGTTGAAAAAAAAAATTAAAAAAAAAAAAATAGAGTGTAATTGTATTAAATACAGACAACACGCGATTAAGTTAGATCTGCAACAAGAAAAATCAGTATTTTGGAGATTTAACTTCTTTGATGACTTTACATTTACCCCCATGCTCTTGGTAAGTGGTGTAAAAAGGGTGATACAGTGTGACAATGAAAACTGACATTCTTGGGGTGCCTGGGTGGCTCAGCTGGTTAAGCATCTGACTTCAGCTCAGGTCGTGATCTCGCGGTTCGTGGGTTTGAGCCCCGCGTCGGACTCTGTGCTGACAGCTCAGAGCCTGGAGCCTGCTTCAGATTCTTTGTCTCCCTTTCTCTCTGCCCCTTCCCCACTTGTGCTCTCTCTCTCTCTCAAAAATAAATAAAAACATTAAAAATTAAAAAAAAAAGAAAACTGAGATTCTCCATTGTGCTTTAAAGTTAATCTGTAACAGCCATGTGTTAATTTTACTCAAAAAATAACTCTTTGCAAGGGCCTTTAGTGTTCCTAATTCTAAGTGAATCTGCATAATCTTTTATTCTGCTTGAATTACTCAGTACTAGGTGAGTTAAACCACATAGAATTGGTTAGGTTCACAAGCTTAATAGTGGAGGGTAATATCCACCTTCTATAACAAACACAGTTTACCATTTTACACGAATACACATGGTTTTCTACAAAACAGAGTCTAACAAATATAATTTCCATAGCCAATATTAATGATACCAAAGTTATAAGCCAATAATTCTGGAACATTAAATCTTGCAGAAAAGCTCTTTGTTCTTTTAAATAAACAGGCTTAAATAGAAATTCAACTTTATGATGACAAGATACAGAATAAGCATGGACTTAATTGAAATGTTCTGGTAATTAGCATGTAAATGCATGTTTTTTCTTTTTTAGTCTAAACTATTAATTCTTAAATGGTGGTGTGGGAACCACTGAGTATTCAGGTCTTTTTCAGGAACCCACAGGGTCAAAGTTTTCATGAGGATGCCGAGATATTATTTGCCTTTTTTACTCTCATGGGAGTACATTGGAGTTTTCCAGAAGCAATGTGATGTGCAGTCACATCATTCTTCTGACCATTAAATGGAATGTGGGCTTGTATTCTTAATTTTAATTTTTTTCCCTCAGTTTACATTTCTAATGTAACTATTAAGAGGTACAACACCCATGAACAAAACCTTGATAAAGTCTTCAATAATTTATAGGAATATAATGGATCTTGAGACCAAAAAGGTTGAGAAACACTTGTTTGAACAAATGGTAGGTAATTACTGACCCGGTGCTGTTTATTCTCAAGCTTATTAGAATTTTTTCCCATGGTTTTCTCATTAATCTCTAATTAAAAATCAAGGTCTTTGGCTTCAACTTTAATTTTCGTCAAGGATAAATAAGAGATATTGGGGCTTATTTATTTTTTATTTCCACAAGTAGAAAGTGCATGGATATAGAGAAGGGTGCTAACATTTTTTTGAGTGTATACTTTATTCTGAATACTGTTAAGGTTTGAAAAGGTCAACAATAAGACCCTTCTGTTCCTGAGTTTATATCAATTGACAGATAGATGGAGGTTAAAATGTTGGCTTTGTTACTGGAAAACTATTTATATTGGAGAAACTGGCTTAAAAGCAGTGAATGGTGAACTCACCCCAAGAGAGAACTTGCCCCATTCCAAACCAAAAGTTTGGCCCTGCCACACTAAACTGAGAACACAGATATATATCAGAGAGTACCCCCTCCCCCAGGAAGCCAACAGATGCAAAGAGAAAATCCTCATTTGTAAAATAAGGAGATGGGACATTACTTATAAAACATGATGAACATATTACTCCAGTAAACCATTCACAAATATGTACTCAATTAAATGATAAACACCATTAACTGTAAAATAACATCCTTTTTAGATAAGATTACCTGCTTCTGATCAACTACACTTAGTTTTTAGGTGATCTCAACGCGACAGTTTGCTGGTCTTCAACCTGTTACAGGACCTAAAAATACCATCCTAATTCTGATGACTCCCACATTTCTATTTCTGGCCTTGACTTTTCTCCTGAGTTTGAAATGCATCCATGAGGACTTCTACCTCTACTTGGTATCTCAAATTTACCATTGCCGAAAAGAGTTCCTATCCTCTGCCCCCAAACATACATACTCACCCCTTCCCCCTCCTCACTTCAGAAAATGGTCAAAAATCTAGGATTTTTGTGTCAGCTATCTAGGATAGTGTCAGAGTCTGACACTTCCTTGTCCCACATTCCACATCCAATCTGTCTGGAAGTCCTACCAATTGTTCCTTCAAAATCAGTCCTGAATCTGACCACTATCACCCTGATTCAATCCATAATCATCTCTCTCCCAAAGTACAGCCTGCCAGCTGTCCTCCCGCCTCTGTGCTTGCTGCCTCCCACACTTCTTTACACAACAGCCTGAGTGATCTTTTTAAAACATGTATTAGATACATTATTCATTGCTCAAAACTGGTCTACGGTTTCACAGCACACTTAGGTGAAATCCACACACCTTCTCCTGTGCTTATAGGCTCTCAATGATCAAGCCCCTAATTATCTTTTCATCCTAATCTCTCCACTGTCCCTGGCCTCATTTCACTTAACTACCATGGCTTTCTTCCTGTTCCTGGTCCATAACATTCTGGTTCCCATCTCAGGGACTTGGCACATGCCGTTCCCTCTGCCTGGAGTTCTCTCTCTTTCCCTCACTTTATTCAGATCTTTGTTCAAAATCCAATTAATCAGAAACTATCCTATATAAATAGAACTCTCCAATATCCTGGGGCACCTGGGTGGCTCAGTCAGTTAAGCTTCTGACTGTGGCTCAGGTCACAATATCCCAGTTCAGGAATTCGAGCCTCACATTAGGCTCTCTGCTGTCAACACAAGAGTCTGCTTTGGGTCCTCTGTCCCCCTCTCTCTCTGCTCCTCCCCTGCGCATTCTCTCTCTCTCAAATTAAAAAAAAAAAAAAAACACTTTTAAAGAACTCTCCAATATCCTGCAATACCATACCTGGCTTTCTTTTCCTCTGCAGGGTTAAGCAGAGATGATGTCTGTTTTTTCACTGCTTTGTCCATTCTATTCCAAGAATGGTGTCAGACATAAATTAGGCACATAGAAAATATTCATTTGGTAGTTGAATAAATATTAGGACATAGTATGTATTTTTCCAGAAATAATGGTAAATCTTACCTCATTCCTCTTGAGACCCGTAGTCGTGCCCTTGGGCAATGGCTCACAAACTTAGAGTCTCCTGGGGCACATTTGTTGCTGTAGAATAATCTTTAGAAATGGAAGAGGATAATAAGAAGGTATGTTTTGCTGGACCTATACAATAATTAAAATTTTTTAATGTTTTATTTTAATTTTGAGAGAGAGAGAGAGAGAGAGAGAGAGACAGAGCATGAGTGGGGGAGGGGCAGAGAGAGAGAGGGAGACACAGAATCTGAAGCAGACTCCGAGCTGTCAGCACAGAGCCTGACGTGATGCTCGAACCCATGAACCGTAGTATCATGACCTGAGCTAAAGTCAGATGCTTAGGCAACTGAGCCACCCAGGCACCCCAGGATGTATACAGTAAGAATTAGAAAGCACTTTACTCTTTTCCTTTATACGTACCTGTGTTAGAGGAAGAAACACATTCATTCAGCAAATTTTTAGGAGTATCTACTTTCTGTCAGGCACTACTCTATGTGCTTGGCAACACAGTGATAGAGAAAACCTCCGCCTTATAAAACTTAGATTTCAGTGGGTATGTGAGTGGATAGATGCACGTATTATAAGTGGGTAAGTGCTATGGGGAAACATAAAGCAGGAGGATGGGAAGTGCTAGGGAAGGGATGCCTGGGCTCCCAGAGCATGGGGTTGGCATCCGGGGCACGTGGGACAACCCAGAACTCCTGGCTTCTTTGTTTCCCCCTTTGTTTTTATTTTGTCATTCTTATTCTTATTATTTTCATCGTGCTAAGTGTGCTTTTTAATCCCCATCACCTATTTGACCCATCCCCCACTCACCTCCCAGCTGGTAACGTAACTGTCAGTTTGTTCTTTACAGTGAAGAGTCTGTTTCTTGGTTTCTCTCTCTCTCAGAACTCCTGGCTTCTGGAGGTAGCCAAAGTAAACAGGGAAAAGGAACAGAATGAGATTGGTCTTCATGGTCTCAAGCGGTGGTCAGGCCATGAGTGTTAAGGATGAGAAGTGTTGGGGATTTTTCTAAGAGCACTTGGGACTTCTGGGCACTCCTCTTTGCTTCTATAATAGTGAATGATAGACCAGGGAATGAGTTTTCTTAGCCAGAGATCTCCAAACTCTTTTCAGTCTTCTAGTTGGAGATGTGGAAGCCAAAAGAGGGACAGTCTTACGTAAACATACAAGCCTTCAAAACAGAAGATGCAGGTATTTTGGTTCAGGTTGTTATAACCAGTTACAACAGACAGGGTGGCTTAAACAGCAAACGTTCATTTCTCACAGTTCTGGAGGCTGGAAGCCTGATTTCGGGATGCCAGCACAGTGGGGTTCTTGACAAATGCCCTCTCTCTGGCTCACGGGGGGCTGTTTTCTTGCTGTGTTGTCACATGGCAGAAGGAGCTAGCTGGCTCTTTGATTTCTACTTCTAAGAGCGCTAATCCCATTTATGAGGACTCCACTCATGTGATTTAATTACCTCCCAAAGCCCCCATGTCTTGACTCCATCACATTGTGATTAGGGCTTCAACATAGGAATGTGGGCAGGAGGACACAGACATTCAGTACATTGCATTTGGATTCAAGTTCTGCTTTTGCCATTGACTAGTCTCACACTTTTAGTCACTTAGTGTTTCTAAGCCTTACTTTTTTTACCTGTGAAGCAGTACTCATCCTGTCTGCCCTCAGGGTTATTTTGGAACTATAAAATGTAGTGTACGTGGTATAACAAATACTTCTGATTTTTTATTTTTCAGATAATGCCATATTTGGATAAAGTGTATCTCCAGAGACACACAGCAATACAACCTCTCTGATCCTTCTTCAATGTCTGTCTTATTTACAAACATTAATTATAAAAGAAACAAAAAATCATTAATCAGATCACCAAGAAAACATTTTATTGTCACATAAAACACATATATATTTTTAAAAAATTTTTAAATGTTTATTTCTGAAGGAGAGAGAGACAGAGGTGGGGGAGGGGCAGAGAGAGAGGGAGGCACAGAATCTAAAGCAGGCTCCAGGCTCTGAGCTGTCAGCACAGAGCCTGATGTGGGGCTTGAACTCACAGTCTGTGAGATCATGACCTGAGCAAAGTGGACGCCCAACCACCTGAGCCACCAAGCACTCCACATAAAACATATTTTTATTCATTCCATCCCATTATTTAGACTTAGATGTTTTGAAGAGGTTTTAAGTGATTAAAGATAGTTTCAAAGATGAAGATAGTTTACAGTGATCTTCTCTTTTAAATTTTTAGAAGTTTATTTATTATCTAAGTAATCTCTACACCTAACATGGGACTCAAACCCATGACCCAAGATCAAGAGTCGCATGCTCTTCCAACTGAGCCAGCCAGGCACCCCTAACCTAAAATGTTTAAATAGTTTGTTTCTGAAATTAGTAGAATATGTTGACCAATTCTACTAATCAAGTTGAAGGCTAAAGTCAACGCTTGCTTCTATTGCTAAATTGCATTAACTTACTCTGTTAAAGCTACCATTTTGGTAATTTGAATAAGTACCTACTTGAGAAGGTAATATTAGGTACCTATAGACAATCTGTCCTATTTCATTGCCCATCCCCAAAGTGGGCATTGCTAGAGTCATCTCGTGGCCAAATCCTACTTGGCTAATGTCACCTTTGTGTCATTATTTCCTACATAGCAGACTAATTTTTAAATTTTAACCTGGCTTGTGTTCCTTGTGGTAGTTTGAGGTAACAGCCTCTTCTATTCTATTTGGTAAGCCAAGCACTGCCTGGCTTCTTGGCATTTGTCTCTACATCAGTGAAATATTCACCTTGTGTTTGGTGGCCCTTTGCCTCCACAGAAAGCTCAGATTCATAAGCCAAGGCGTTTTAATATTGGAAGGGATATGGATCCTACTGGCCTAAATCCTACCTCAGCTAGGGCTACGCAAGGGCACAGCGGACAGGATTCATTACCTCTGAGAGTGCAGTAAAAAGCCAGACTCAAAACTAATTTTTTGCTTCTCAAAAAGCAAACACCTAGTGTCACGAGCTATGAAGTGTTAGCCTACCAAGCTTCATGAGCGTTGACAGAGGACAGAAGACTCCTGGCTCTGAGGCAAAAGACTCTATTACGCAGAGCACAGCAAGTAGCACAAGCCTCATGTTTAGGTTGGTCCCCCCTTGCACTTCCCCACCCCCTTCAAGGCAATGGGAAACTGTTCAGATAATGCCACACACAGAGGTTTTGCCTCACACCCAAGGACCGCTGCGCTTAAGAAACCCAACCTTTATTATACTGCACGGTAAATAAACCTGCCCTCTGTTACAGTGAGAGACATTATTTCTGTCATCCAAGGTCCTTGACTACAAACATCCTTGAAGAGATAGTCTAGAACAAAAGCTATCAGTGCCTCTGCTCCCAAGACATGCAGAAATGTGAGAGACCTATGGAGAATTATCTCCCAGCACCTAGCAGCCCAAATAAAGACCATCAGGTAAAACATTATTCCTTGGGTCCAATCTAAGATGAATCCTGGGGAATAAACACATAGTAAAGGAGTGTCAGGTTATGAATTATACAATTAACAACCTTTCTTTTTATAAAAATTTTTTTTTCAACGTTTTTTATTTATTTTTGGGACAGAGAGAGACAGAGCATGAACGGGGGAGGGGCAGAGAGAGAGGGAGACACAGAATCGGAAACAGGCTCCAGGCTCCAAGCCATCAGCCCAGAGCCTGATGCGGGGCTCGAACTCACGGACCGCGAAATCGTGACCTGGCTGAAGCTGAATGCTTAACCGACTGCGCCACCCAGGCGCCCCCAATTAACAACCTTTCTAACCTCATTCCTCTGTCATCCTGTCCTACCTTCTCTCCTAGGCACCTCTGGTTTTAAGGAATTATTAGTGGTTCTTTGCTTTATCCTGTTGTCCCTCCTTCCCCTGATTCCTGGAATCACCACCGTCTCCTGGAAGCCATCCCTACCCCAGCCTCTTTCCCTAATAGGTGTTTCCACAGCCTCCTCCTCTATACACCCTCTATACAACAGCCAAGGGCTAAAACCAGAAACCAAAATGTCACAAGACCATATATATCTTGGACTCTGAACCTACCTGAAATCACAAGAAGTCCAGCCACCTCCTCTTCCCCCTCCCAGGAATGTTTCATATCCGTTGATGCACGTGTTCCCTAATAAACATGTGGGGACCAGCATTTTCCCCCCTTTTCTCCTCTGGCTCCCTGTAGAGCTGTCTGCAGATTCTCCCTCTGACTCTCCCTCTCTCTCTTCCTCTCGAGAGAAGTCAAGAAGTTTCCAAGTCAAGGCCACTAATGTTTGTGCAGGAAGTCTTCCTGTGGCACCTCCAAGACTCCAGAAAAGACATTGGTATGGCCCACTATTGCTGTTGAAGCTGCTATTGGGGTTCAGAATGAGTTGTCCTAAGATGTGCTATTTTGGCACATGGATTATTCTGAGCTGAAAACCATCAAGGCCCAAAAGACTCAAGAAGAAACTTTGACCCTCCCCCTAACTGCCTGAAGGAATTTAGACAGATGACCTGCTCCAGGAAGAGAGCCATCACCATCAATAACTACTGTGTAATATGAACTAGGTTTGGAAGAGGGAGGAACCTAGAAAAGTCTGCTACAATTCCTCTTTGTGTCTCATTATTTCTGTATGGCCCGATTCATCTTCCCGTGAATTGCTTTCCTTCTCTTTGAAGTTCCAGTCCCCCACCCCTTTCTCCTTAGTATAGGATGGACATATATACCTCATTTTGCTGGTCTTTGGAATCTCTCATGTTTATGTGGATTCCCTGTACATACATAATTAAATTTGATATTCTCCTATTAATCTGTCTCATGTCAATTTGATTCTTAGACCAGCCAGAAGAATCTTGAAGGGTACAATAAAATTCTTGCATCCCAACACTGCCAACATCCAAGGCCTCTTCCCTGGAGAGGGTCTTGCAGGCCACAGTAAGGGAGCTACATCTCTTTTCTGGCACTGCAGATGTGTCCAAAGAGAGGGGCCAGGCAGAACCAGAAGCCAGGCAGCACCAACCAGGACTCTCAGCTAAATAAGACCTCAGAACAAGAAGGGTTGGATGGTGAACCCAGGGAATGAAGAGGTGTGGGTGGACGGGTTTGAGGACACTCAGTTATGAAAATATTGCCCAAACCTTCACTCTTCTTTCTACAGTGTGAACAACTCCACTTACAGTGCCAGAGGAGAAGCAGAGACTAGAGAATCCAAGGAAGTTTCCCTGGGGGTTTTAGTGGAAAATTTCTTTTAAATCATTCCTCTTTTACTGCAGTCACCTCTTCCTCATGCATAAGTTTGTGGAGCTGTTCTAGAGAAAAATATGAATGACAGATATCACACTGGAGTTAGAATCACCCAAAAAATGGGGGCACTTGAGTGGCTCAATTCGTTAAGTGTCCGACTTCAGCTAAGGTCATGATCTCACGGTTCATGAGTTCAAGCCCCGCATCAGACTCTCGGCTGTCAACGGGGAGCCTGCTTCAGTCTCTTGGTGCCCCTCCCCTGCTCTCTCTCTTACACTCTCTCTCTCTCAAATGAATAACATTAAAACAAACAAAAAACGAATCACCCAAAATTTGAGTCGTGGGACTCAACTCTCTTTTTGCCTTGAGCACAGGGTGAGTAATATCCTCTGATTTTCTATTTCAAGAACTGATTTCAAGGATGAACTGATGCATCCCCTTTTTAAATGTTATCTTCCCCTAAAATGAAACAAACTGAGCATCACGTTTGTCACGCTATATTCACACAGGCCATCGAAAAGTGAGTCCTTCTTGCTTTAGAGACTTCACATTGGCTCCTCTCTGCCTGGGAAGTTCTTTCCCCATTCTTCTCAGATCTGGCCCCTTGTCACCTTCAGCAACTCAACTAGCATGTCGCCTCCTCAGAGGCGTCAACTAAAGTAGAAAGAACTCTGTTATGCAACTATATATTACTAAGCAGGCAAAAATAAGTCATGGAACATGTTCTATAAGTTCGTGAAGTCCTTGCCCTTGCCTTACTACTCAAAGTGTGGTCCATAGGCCAGCAGCACCAGTAACATCTGGAAGTTTTTTGAAATACAAAATCTCAGGTGTAGGGGAGAAAAACTTTCCTTTCTTCCTTTCTAGGTACTTTGGCTGGCTTAATAATTAAATGACATATTAATCAATTATTAACAATAGTAACATTAATAAACAATATTAATACTATTGATTTATTTACTAAATAGTGTTTATCCACTAAATTATTTTTATTAAATAATTATTAAACTATGCATTAGATAATTGATATTATTAATCAGTTTATTATTAATAATTAATATAATTATGAATTAAGACAGGTTAACAGGAGAGAAACACATTTAATTTCATATGGGAGTTCACAAAAATATGAAACTCAAGGGAAGTGAGCGAAGCAGTCAGTGTGTATACCTTTATACCAGATACAAGAAATTTGTGAGGAATTGACAAGACAAGTCTGGGCTTGGGGTAGTAAATTGGTGAAGGAAAAACAAGTGCTGTTTATACAGCCTCTCTGTGCTGCATTCCCAGACTCTGGTGATAAGGAGTTCTCTTTACCCGCTGGTACAGGAGGGTACCTTTCACGCAGGAGACTGACTTCCTGCTTGCAGGGGGACACAGGGGGCTCAGAGTGTCCTTCCTGCACCACTGCTTCGTAAGTCACTTGAATTCAAAATAACCCAAATAATCGATCTTGCAGAGTGGCATATTTTAAGGGGCCTGCCCTAGACCCCATCACCCCAGCTCTCCTGAAATGGAATCTGTCCTTTAACCAGATCCTCAGTTGACTTCTATATACATTCAAGTTTGAAAAGCACTGCAGTTTAAGGCACGCCCACAAACGCCTTTCTTGGAGTCACTCCAGTTTTTAGCACCTGGTTCTCAACTTTGGCTGCACCTCAGAAGCATCTAGTGAGCTTTTCAAAAATTCATTTCCCTAGACCTTGATTCCAGCGTTGTCACTTAAATGACCTGGGTCATGGGAACTTTTTAAAAGCCCCTCTGCCAGGCAGGAATGCGAGCCACCAGTGTAGCTGGGACTGAGTGAGACTTGCAGTTAAATTCAGGTGACAGGATCCTCTTTAGAGGCTGAATTCCAGACGAGAAGAAATCCCAGGCCTCAGGCATCATTCTGAAAAGTATAGGCCAGGGGTCAGCAAACCATTTTCTGTAAAAGGTTAAAAGGTATTTTAGTCTTTACATCCATGTGATCGCTGATGCAACTACCCAATTCTGTCACTGTAGAATGAACACAGACATTGGAAATGAGTGAGCGTGTAACTGTGTTTCAGTAAATCTTTATGGACACTGAAATCGAATTTCATATAATATTCACATATTATGAAATATTATTCTTTTGATTTTTTCAGCCATTTAAAAATCTAACTCATGCAATAATTGTATATCTAGCTAATCCAAATATCTGAGCCTCATTTATTTCACCAATGAAAAGTTTTCTCTCTATATTTACATTTTTTTTAATGTTTATTTATTTTTGAGAGAGAGAGAGAGAGAGCATGAGTGGGGGAGGGGTAGAGAGAGAGGGAGACACAGAATCCGAAGCAGGCTCCAGGCTCTGAGCTGTCAGCACAGAGCCCGATGCGGGGCTCGAACTCACAAAACTGCTAGATCGTGACCTGAGCCTAAGTCGGATGCTTAACCAACTGAGCCACCCAGACACACCTACAGTTTTTAAACTTTTAGATATTTCAATGACAATTCTAGACTCCTTACCTTCTATTCATAATAAATACCTCCAGTTGGGCCCAAGATAAGAAAGTCAGAAGAAGCAGAGGAAAATGGATTTACGTGTAGAATTCCACTATAGGGAGCTACTGATTTCAGAAGGTACTTAAATGGCTGTTAAGATGGACTTGAAATTTGTTTGGTGACAGTACTGCATTGACGACCTCTGTTGTGGTGGTGAGGGTAGCCATGTAAGACACCCTCCGTCCAAAGAGGAGCCTTGAGAAGCGAGCCTGAAGGGAGATCTCTTGTGAACTTTGAAGATTGGGGAAAATTTCTGTTAGGGCTTGTTCTGTGGAGGGTTTGGGGACACAACTTTATAGGTTCAATCCTCTGTCTGATTCCAAAGGGTATATGCTTTCTAGCCAAATAAATTCCTGCCTTTTCTTCTGAATCCCCAACAAGAGTCCTTTCATTATAAAAGGACTAATAAATCGGCACTGAATTGTGGCTACTGATGAAGGAACTGCAAGGCATGACCAACCCTCAGGGCTAATGACTGACGATCATCTCTGGGGTTAAGGTTAAGGGGGTCCTGCTAAATTCAACGTGCTTCTTCCCCATCCTGACATTTTAAAACTGGGAATCAGGTCCAAAATGAACTGCAAAGTGCCAAGAAGGGCAAGAAGTCATAAACGCCAAGGACAGGAGTGAAAGAAAGGAAGTTAAGTTTTGGACTTGGAGATGGTGGAGTTTTGTGGGCTCACTGCCTACTATAGCAGTCAGATTCCTCAGTTTCGAGAAACAGAACCAACTCTGAATAATTTGAGCGGACAAGGAATTTATTAAATATGTTGGGTAGCTCGCACAAGCTGCAAGAAGTCCAGAGAACCAGGTTTCTGTAGAAACAATGCCCAAATTGGGCCACAAGGCACATGAAGACTCACTGCCTTTGGATACTGGATACTGCAGTACAATCGATGGCACCGTTGCCTCATCTGGGTACAGAGGTCACCTCCCACAGCGGCGTGGCGTCCACACGGCCTGAATTTCTTTACATCCCATCCAGCTTCCAAGTCTGGGTTGGGTGCAACTTATTGGAGGAACTTAGGTCATGTAACTTTCATAGTTGTAAGAAAATTTGGGAAAGCAAGTGTGCATTTTCAGTTTCTAGGGTGGAAGATGGGCTATGCCTCATAAAGGTAAGAGATTTCACAAGTACAGGAAAAGTGGATGAAAAGAAAATGTTTACTGCAGTATATCTTTGTGTTATCCCCCAAATCAACATATATCCTTCTTGCCCTAAGAATGTCTTTTTTAAATTCTTTCACAAGATCAACCACCATCTGCTATGGACTGCCAGTGTTCATGCTTAGCATGAACGGGACATGTGCTGCCTGGAAAGCTCTCCAGGCTCTGTAATGAGTCCCAGATTTCCTTCTCTTCTTCTTTTTTTTTCCTTCATTTCCCCAAGGGTCTCTTGGTGACAACAACTTCAGGGCGTCAATGTTCTCATCGATCAGGGTTTTTAAAGATATAAGCAATGGATACTGAATTTGGCTAATTTAAGGAAATGAACTTACCAAAGGATACTGGATGGTTCATCAAATCTCCAAGAAGGCTGAAAAAAACCAAATTCATGCCACTGAACTAAAAGCATAAAGACCACTGCCACAGACCCTGCAGTGAACACTGTCAACCTTGCCAAACTGGACTCTAAATTTGCTGCTATACTGCCCACCCTCACCAGAACGGAGCCGGATCAGTCCTGGCCTCCTCACGTCCCTAGCATCATTTTAATCCAGGGTGGGTAAGAGTATCAGTGTCTTGGTGGCAAAGAAGGCTGGAAAGTGACTGCTTGGCATTTTGGACCTCTATAGTGGGAAGCAGTCTCTGCATATTAAGGTGAGAGATACTCTACAGAAAGGAATTCACATGTGTGATGGCCAAAAAAAGATAGACGTCCATCCATATGAACCTGAAGACCCCTTCTCTCTTCTACTGCTTCCTTTAGTCACTGCCTATCCACTCAGTTTCAGAGTTCTTAATTTGTAATACCTGGAGAATGGCTTTTGAAAGATGTTAAACTCATGCAGAGATCAAATTGGGAGGTACTGGGAT